GGGTGTGGATACCTCTCCCCTGTGAAGGAAGACACGAGGTTATTTTATAACTGTTGTTGGAAAAAGATAGGGAGGACCTCGATGTCTAGAGGATTTAATGGAGTTGGATGACTTACCAATAGCCCTATGAGTATCCTAAGTCCCAAAACTCTGGCTGGGAGTCTCCACATGATGTTCCTTTATCCTGACCTTTTCTTGAAGCTTATCATGTTGGTCAAGCTAGATTAGTCGGTGGAGGTTCAAGTCCCCATCATATATGCGAAATGTAGATTGACTAGTGAAACTCTCAACAACTTCCGATAATAAGAATGAATCTAAGAGTCACATGAGCATAACAAATGATTTTAAGCCAAAAAAAAAGTCAGCATATGCATATGCATTATAGTTTACCATTGAATTGTAAATGAATGAGGTGCCTGCTTATGAATGAATGAATGAAGTTATTTATATTATATTAGTTGAGTTGATTTTTGAAAATCAAGGTTTTATATAAGTTATACTTTTTTTTTTTAATTTTTTCTTTCCTTCCTTTCAAGTCCTAACTGCTTTTATGAGTATTTGAAAAGTATCATCTCTCACTTTTATTCTTGTTTTGCAAATCTTCAATGTTGTGTCCAAGGGTACAAGTACACTCGAGGATTTTAACAAGATTCCATTAACAGGATTGCTACATCTAGAAACACAGTTGTGTTAGTTGGATCGTGGTCGCACAAGGGGATTCTTATACACATATGGAATTCCATAGGTTATATAGAGTTATTAGAGTCAATGGGTGAGTAATTCTTTGATGTTGTATTTTACCAAAATTGATATAATACTAGTTAAGGATTTAACATTTACCTTGTGAACTAATGTGGTATGGGACGTTTTATGTCTTGTCCGAATGTTAAGTCAATCTCTAAGACTACTAAGGAGAAAAGTCTGACAAGTTGCTTGTAATTGAAAGTGTGATTGCTTGATTAGAATATACATATGATAGATTGTGTGAAAATGATTTACCAAGATAAGACTAAGAATCAATTTAGTTTGGGTTAAAAAAATATTTTTTTGGCATTTTCGTCATTTGAAAAAAGGTCATTAAATAGAATGCTACACTTGTGGCAAAAGAGGTCATTACTCTCATGGGTGTTGGCACAGGGACAAAGAACATGATGATGAGGCCCAATTGGCTGCAGAAGCTGATTTTGATTCAGAACTAGTGCTGTTGATGGTCATTACAAAGACAGGAGCTGATAGTGATGAACACTAGTACCTGGACACTAGCTGCTCAACCTATATGACTGATCATAAGGACTGGTTCTTGAGCTTGGATGAGTTAGTGGAAAGCAAGGTTAGATTTGCTAACAATAGCACACTTGGTGCAGAAGGACTAGGCAAAGTCTTGATCAAGAGAAAGGATGGCAAGGAATCCTATATAGAAGATGTCCTCTATGTCCCTAGTATGAAATGTAATCTCTTAAGTTTATGATTCACATAAGAGAAGGTTTTGAAAGTTTATGATTCACATAAGAGACTTGTGCTCAAATCTCCTTGGTCCAGAAATAGAACCTTTAAAGTAGGTATTCAGGTACTTGAACATCAATGTCTCAGTGCTGCTACAAGCAAGGGGGAATGGCTATGGCATTACATGCTAGGTCATCTAAATTTTAAAGACTTAAGTCAAATTCATGAAATGGTTAAAGGTGTTCCAAAGATGAGGTTGCCCTTGGAGAAATGCAAAGAATGCTTGGAATGCAAGCAAACCAGGAGCACATTCAAAAAGTTTGTTCCTATTAAGTCAAAGCAAAAGCTTGAGGTCATCTATTCAGATGTATGTGGTCCTCTACAAATTGAGTCTCTTGGAGGAAGCAGGTATTTTGTGACATTTATTGATGATTTGACTAGAAAAACATGGATTTATATGATTAAGAAGAAAAGTGATGTGCTTACTATTTTTAAGAAGTTCAAAGCACTTGTAGAAAAGCAGTGTGGGACTCATATTAAAATTTTGAGGACTGATGGTGGTGGAGAGTACACCTCAAGGGAATTCAATGAGTTCTGCGATAAGGTTGGTATTTGTCATGAACATACACCATCCTACACACCACAACACAATGGTGTTGGACCATTATGAACATGATCAGGAGCATGTTAAAGTGCAAGGAACTGCCACACAACTTGTGGAGTGAAGCTGCTGCTACAGTAGTATATCTTCTGAATAGATGTCCCTCTAGAAGATTGAAAGATGTAACACTTGAGGAAGCTTGGACAGAAACCAAGCCTGATGTGAATCATCTCAGGATATTTGGATCCTTATGCTATAGACATATTCCTGATCAGCTGAGGCAGAAACTTGATGATAAAGGTGAGCAAGTGATCATGATAGGTTATCATGCAACTAGTGGTTACAGATTACTTGATCCTAGGAAGATGAAGGTGATGGTCAGTAAAGACATAGTGTTTGATGAATCTGAGAAGTGGAATTGGGAAAAAGACTCAGCAGCCAAGTCAACTAATATAGTGTTTGATGAATCTAGTGATTATGATAGATCAGCTACTGATATTGGAATGAATCCAAGAAGATCTCAGAGGATCAGGCAGCCTACACGAAATCTAAATGATTATGAGACTTATGCTGATGATGAAGTGAATAAGGATGGTGATTTAGTCCACTTAGCTCTATTTGCAGGAGCTGAACTAGTAAATATAAAAGAGGGCTTAAAAGATCCAAATTGGATTTTTGCTATGAAAGAAGAGCTCAAGTCTATCGAGAAGAATAAGACTTGGGACTTAGTGTCTCTACCACAAAAGAAAAGGCTTATAGCAGTGAAATGGGTTTACAAGATAAAGAGAAGTTCAAGTGGTGAAATAATCAAGTACAAGGCTAGACTGGTAGCCAAGGGATTCCTACATAGGGAAGGTGTTGATTTTAGTGATATTTTTGTACCTGTGGCAAGAATAGAGACAGTGAGATTTGTGGTAGCCATAGCTAGTCTAAAGGGTTGGACAATGCACCAACTTGATGTCAAGTCTGCATTTTTAAATGCTCCCCTTGAAGAAGAGGTATATGTTGAGCAGCCACTAGGTTTTAAAGTAGCTGATTAAGAAATGAAAGTCTATAAGTTAAGGAAAGCCTCGTATGGGCTAAGAAAAGCTCCTCGAGCTTGGAACAAGAAGATAGACAGTGTGCTTATTGAGCTTGGATTCTCAAAGTGTATTTTAGAACATGGTATATATGTTAAAGGTAAAACTGAAGCTGAGCTTATTATATTGTGTCTCTATGTTGATGATTTGCTGATTACTAGCTATAAGGCTCATGAAATTGCCAAAGTCAACAACTTACTGATGAAACAGTTTGAGATGACAGATTTAGGTCTCTTGTCCTACTTTCTTGGTATTGAGTTCAAGGAAACAGAAAAAGGAATTCTTATGCATCAAAGCAAGTATGCAGAAGATTCGTTGAGAAAATTTAGAATGTTTGATTGCAATATGGCTACTACACCTGCAGAAACAGGACTGGTTGTGAGCCTGAAGAGTGAAGGTGAAGCTGTTGATGTCACCCTACACAGACAGATTGTAGGTTCCTCAAGATACCTATGTAATACAAGGCCAAATTTAGCCTTCAATGATGGTCTGATAAGTAGGTACATGCAAGCTCCTAAGACTCCTCATATGATGGCTGCAAAGAGAATTCTTAGGTAAATCAAAGGTACCTTGAACTATGGAGTTTTACTTCCTAAAGGCATAAACAGAAAACATGCAGAATTGGTTGGTTTTACATTTTCTGACTGGAGAAAGGATAATGATGATAGGAAGAGTACAGCTGGGTACATCTTCATGTATGGTGGTTCACCAATCTCTTGGTACTCAAAAAAGGAAGATTCAATTGCCTTATCAACCTGTGAGGCTGAATATGTAGCTGTATCCATGGGAACATGCCAAGGTTTATGGCTTGGGAAGCTGCTGAAAGAAATGAAAATCCAAGAAGAAGGTTATGTAACTCTACTGATTGACAACAAATCTGCAATAAACCTTGCAAAATATCCCATAGGTCACAGCAACAGCAAGCATATAGAGAGCAAGTAACACTTCATTAGGGACAAAGTGAGCAAAGGGAAGATTCAAGTGGCTTACTGCAAGTCAGAAGAAAACCTAGCAGATTTTCTAACCAAGCCCATGAAGAAGAGCAAAGTTGAAGAGTTTAGAAGCAAAGTCATAATGAAAGCTTCATAGGAATGTGAATTATGGGAGATGTTGTAAATAATTCATATCCTTGTTAGTTAGTTAAGGTTCCAATTATAGGAAGATAGGTGGTTCATTTGTATTCATTCACTGGTATATAAGGACCGGTTTATTCACATTAATTGTAGTTACTGTTGTTGAAATCTCTCTCTAACTCTCCTCCTTCCTCCCTTCCTCTCTGCATTTTCTGCTTCTTTCAATTGTCTGAGTGTGTGTGCAAAGTGTTAGAGAACTTAAGAGTTCCTACATGGACTTCCGATATTCTGTAGTTATGTGTTAAAAGTGATCAGGTTTTATAGGTGTAAACGAAATTATATTATGCCAAGTTTGAAGGCCCCACCTCAGTAGTATATTATTGGACCTGAAACTTTGCATGACAGAGGATCTTGACCATTGAAACTTTCATTCAATTCCACTTACCTGTGAAGGTCGTTATCCATTCCATATGGTCTTGATACTTTTATACCCGTTTGTTGTGGAGTTTGGACCCTTAAAAATGATCTATTTCTCTCTTTCTCTTTGTTAAGTTCTTTATGTCTTGCTTAGTAAACTGAAAATCCTGATATTTTAACTGGATAATCTCGGGGCTTTTGTCCATGTAAAAACTAAACACCTTATCACATTGGACTTCAAAGAGTTAGAAGGTTTATTATTCTTTTTATTTGTTGTCTATAGAATTTCTTTTGATCAGTCTCTAAATCTAACTACACGAGAGGCATTGGTTTCTAGAGAAACAGTCTTCTTCATACCTTGCTCATGATATAAATTCATAAATGCAGGATGTTGATTCTGACACAAATTTTGTGCTGGCATCTTGGAAACTAAGGTACATATCCTGCTCCTTGTGTGTGTTAATGTAACATCCAATTTTCCTTTATCCAACACTTTATATCCCCTCAATCTTGGGATAAGGTTTTCAAGATTCTATATTTCTATCTATCTATATTTTCATATATACGGCTCATATTAGCTACCAGTTTGCCACATTGTTCAAATAATGATAATATGATTCTGAGAGCAATGTGCTGTAATTCCATTGTAGAAGCAGTGCTGTTATGTTTCTGAAAATGCATAAAAGTTTTGGAATCATTTTTAACACAAACAAGTAGTTTTGTGCTAAAACGGTCCTTGAAGATTTTCTGCACCACTGTAATGATAATCTAGAAACAACGCTTATCGTCACTAATAAAATTCTCAACTTCTTTGTTTTAATTTTTTTTGGGGGAACTGATATACAGGACCAACATAAAGCTTCCTTGGAGGCCTCTGATTTCCATTGATGGAAGAACATTTTATGAGTTAAATGGAGATTTCAAAGTCAGTATCAAAATGTATTCTTGTCTTTCTGCTGTATATATATTTCCATTTATTACTACAATTTGAGATACATATTAACTAGTGCTCCCAAGTTTTTTGCATGACAGATTGTTAGGCATGTTGAGAGATGGAATGTTTCTGCACTTGAAGCAATTCTGCAGATTTTCACCTTTGAATTTGAAAACTCGGGCGGTTGAATGCCATGAAATTTTGCATTCACAAGTCACTCTTTATTGGTCTAGTCAATGGGCATCACTTGGTTAAGTTAACTAACATGTATTTCATGAAAGCACTGATGATTCTTAATTTATGCAGTGGTTAAAGACGCCATTGAAGCCTGTCAATTTTTCTGTATATCTTGCTTATTTTTCCTCTAGGTGTAACTCCAACTAGAAGTATTTGCTAAATAGTTTATATAAATAGATCAACCCAAAACATGAAAAAACGAAAGTTTTGCGCTAAAACTTGACAGAATTGCAGGATATTAAATTTTTGTTTTTCAAATTTTAGCTTCAATGCAATGCTGCATTAAAAATAGAAACAGTCATCCGATAAGTACATAGCTGTCACAATTTTTTTTTTTTAAATGTGTTGAAAATACACTAAGAAGGGAAAAAAATATTCCATATTCCATTTTCCATCAAGTCTTTTGCCCTCTCTATACTTGCCTGCGGCCTGTAAGAAGTATGGAGTAATTCAAATTATCAATTGAAGGATCAGCTTTTATCATTTGCATCATAAGAAGTGCGCCTGTTTTTATAATGATGGGGGTGAGAGATTCAATTTGCAATACAAGAGTAAAGAGCATCTTTAGACTATAAAGTTCAGGGCCATAATGCTGTTAAACAACCATTTTGCTATGAGACTCCATAATCATTTGCCTCTACTATCTCAGACAAGTGAAGCACAGCCAGCAAGTTCAAGATTACTTTAAAATATCTTAAAGCTTGAAATTAAACTTCTTTTTACAAACAGTATGACCCTCACTCATAACATCCCAATACCAAACTTCAGTGGACTTGGTATGAGTAGCTTCTTTATACCATCTTTTGGTTGTGGTTAAATGATGAATGTTTTGTGATTGCTTTTTGACCAAACAGTATTCTATATAGCAATAGAGATAATCCAAGGAGTTCAAACCAGGATTGAATTCATGCATGTTAATTCATTTGAATTCATTTAGCACAGAATATAGGATGATGGAACACGATGACTTAGGAATGCAATCTCTAAAGATGTGGCTCACTGTTTCAATAGCCAGCCCACTCAATGAGTCTATGAATTCGTTACGCACAAGCTCTGAAGCCCGGGTTACTTTATTATTAGAAAATGGTAGGAGTAAATAAAACAATCGTGTTGCAGAGAATCTCCACCAAGCCCATGCTCATCTTTAAAGGAAAAATATTGTTTATATCTGTATTCTGCATACCATATGATGGCTATTGGGGTCTATGATACTGCTTTGGAATTATTAAATCTTGAGAATCCAAGGTGGAATTGTACACTGTATGTGTGGACGCCTGGTTGCAATTTTGCTTGCCATAAACTTTAAAGTGTCTATATATATAGACACATATATTAAGCGGTACTTTTGTGTCGGAACCTTACCCGACTCATGAGTGTGCCTTTTGAATTTGGTTTCTGCATCGGGAAATTAAACTGAAGCAACGTCAAGAATTCAAAATATTGTGATCACTATTTTAGAGGGTACCCATCGAGATAGACATTCAAAGATTTTATATTCTTTTGTGGGTGCAATCACTGTTACATTTTTATAGAACTCATCCGAGCTACATATAAAGTTTCACTATTTTGTTATTGAATCCAGAAATGAATAAACATATATAAGACAAATTTCAGATAAAGAAATTGCAAGAGAAATTACTGTACAAGAAAGAAAGGTGATTAGGTGAGTATACAAGAAAATGCTTTGCTCGCAAATCCAGAGCAATTCAAAGCAGAAATCCAATGAAAAACACAGAAGTTGAATTAATAATCACAATTTGAAATCATAAATGTGCAAAATTTCAAACTCTAATTTCTCTTCCAAGCATAGAGCAACAAAGAGAACCCACCATTAATCCCACACGATCTGGTAGATGAAGAGCAGGAGCTCCTCCCACCATCACTGCTCTCCTCCGTCCACTGCCACACGCCGGAGCTCGACGGCGAAGGTAACAGTGTCATGATCGCCGGCGACATATTGGGTCCCACCAACCTCTTCTTCATCAACTTCTTCTCTGGACCCACCATTTCAGGCCACACGGCGCCACCGTCACCTACTTGAAACACAAAAACACCATTGCCATTGCCATTTCCATTCTCACTATGATCAACCACCCAACTCAACACGTCCCAGTAGAACTCTACTTCAACGCCATCAATGAAGATTTTCTCATTCCCTCTGAATTTCCATGCCAGCCTTTTCACCACCAAGTGAACTTCACCATCCACTTTCACTCTCAGCACATCTCCATTGCACAATTCAATCTCTATTTCGTGTTTGGAACCCATGAACTCACCTCTTGACACGTAACTCTCGCTCCCAAACACGTGTTCTCTCCTTGACACAAGACTTTGTTCACTCACACTGTGTTGATGATTCGTAAACTGCATGAGAAGATCACCTAGAAAGAATTCAAGTCTTCCATTGCAGCAGATTGCTAGGTAGAAGCATGATTCTGGCTCAGCACAGTTTTGAGCACTAAACTGTGCTCCGGCGAAGTCCCAGAAAAGTTTGATTTTCCGAGAATGTTTGTGGGCCCGGCTGAGGTAGATGGATTTGGATCCTGGTCTTGTTCGGAAGAATGAAAAAGTTGATGGCTTGAGAGGTATGGTAATGGAGAAGGTGTGTGGGGCGTAAATGGTTAAGGAGTGAGAGAGAAGGGTTCTGGACCAGGTGAGGGTAAGGTACGTGGGAGAGTTGCAAAGATGAGTTTGGTATATGCAGGTTACCAGATTTTGAGGCACTTGAGTAATGCTTGAGCTTGATGGTGTGTTGGGTTGGCTGAAACAAGCTGGGATCATGTTGTTTTGTTTGTTCCTTCTTGGTTTGGACGTGTGTGTTTCTCAAACCATTTAGTTAGTGTTTGGTTAGCTTGTTTTTTAGTACTATGGTATGGGAGTGGATGAGTTTGTGTTATTGGCTTTATGTGCTTAGGGGAAAACAGCACCCTGATAGCATGGGGTAGTTAAAATTTGGACTCGTGTGTGTTTAATGTTTTTAAAGGTTGTTTGGGAGGGTGATTAACTTTTTCTCATCTTTTAATGATGAGAACACAATGCTTTGTTTGATATTAAAAAGAAAAAGGGGGAGAATACGAGGCTTCTATCATCACATCCACAATCATAAACTCCAGTTGCTAAGACTTTTACATACAGTTTCCTGTTGGCTTCCTTGATTTGCGCCTTTGACAAGGCTTGAATATTGAAAAGCCTTATTTATGGACTCATATGCTAGTGAGCTGGGCTGCACTTCCAGGCTCCAACTTTCCAAGTCATTCCTATTAAACAATGAAGAGACGGAATTAACAATTATGTTCCATGACCCTTTTATTTTTTTTGAATGATTACTTTCTCAGTTCCCGTGAAATGATATGTCATATATCCTAAGCTAGAACTTTGAATTTTAGATGCATTGGAAAATCAATGATCGGGGTACAAAGTAAGTTTTTTGTACTGCTATCTTAAAGTGTTTTTGTATATTTTTAAAACATATTTTTAAAATATTGCATATATAAAAAAAATAAAAAATAAAAATGTAACATATCATAAAATAAGAGTGGGAGTGTTAATTCTCCACATTATCCCGCTTTCCATTAGACAGCTGACAAGCATATTAGAGTGTAAAATCTATATTTTAATTTTTTATAACCATTAATTTAATTAACTGTTATTTCATTTGCGTTAGACGTCTAGCAGTCTTTTTAGCTTCAGTTCAATAAATTCAATGTCTTATCTACTTATTGTTTGGAAGAGAATGATAACTTATTCATTAATTAATATTTTATAAATATAACTAATTTTAATTTATAATTAATAGACATTCACGATTGGTTGTAAGAAAATTATTTGCAAACCAAACATATATATGTAACCTTCTATCATGCCACCATTGTAGTCATTCTTCTAAAACTATTTATTTATTTAGCGTATATTATGCTTCAAAATTTAAAGTTATTTGCACTATAAGCGTTGCATTGAAGAAGAAGGGGAAAAATTCTCAAGTTTATATACCTAAATTACCCTTTTCCACCGAATCTCCTCACCAGGACTTCAAAGTTCAAACACCATCCATCTCATGACCAAAACCAAAAGGCACAGTTTTTTTCTATAGCTGGGCAAATCTATCAGAAACAATTGATCTAAAACCATCATCAGATTTTCTGTTTTTTTTTTTTTTTTGTCCATGTCAGATCTGCAGTTACTAATGAAAATTTTCATGACACAAAAAAATGAACTTTTAAAGGCCCAAATGAAGTTGAGTCCCTCAACAAAAGGAACAAACAATTGAATTCTTGGTGAGTATAGCCATAGAAAATGAAATTAAATGTACAAAAAATAACAAGAAGAAACCTAAGTTAAATAAACAAAGAAACATATATGAATAAGAATATGAAGATACATATTAAATCAAGAAGGAGATGAGCGCGTTGCCAATTCATGTTGAACAGCCTTGATGAGTAAGCTATCTTTGCCAAGAACGACAATGATGGGAGAGCCACCAATGCCACGAGCAACTGCATGCATAATCTCAGTCATTAAGGACTTGAACTCTTTGAGATCGAGTGCGCCATTTCCATCTTCATCAAACCTCTTGAACATCTCTTCTTGTGGCTGTGATTCAGAATCTAAGGCCAAAAACATCCCAAACCCACCACGGATTTCGTCACGCGAAAGCTTTCCATCGCCATTCTTGTCTATCATTGCAAACCATTCATTCACGAAACCATCAAACTTAGCCGTGTCCTTTACGAACTCTGTTACGGTGGAGCTGTTCACAACTGCTACGCTCATTCTAATTTGGAACACAACCCCAATGATTCTATTTTACGTTAGATGATGACGGTTAAGGTCGCAGGATAACAGTTAGCGGCTCTTGTGTTGTGTTCTTCTTCTCTTCCCATATTTTTTTTAATTTTTAAAGTAACGGTTGCCCTAAGTTCACGTTTCCAATGGTTGATTACCCTTTCTTTTAGAACACTACATCTTACCAACGTCGGACTTCTATTTCTTTGAAAAAAAAAATAAGTTTAATTTCTTTCACCTTTTGTGACTATAACTTTTAAATTGTTAAATAAAAAATTATTAGATATTTTTATATTTTAAAATAATAAATGTTTTCAATTTAATATTATATTTTATTGAATATTAAAAGAATTGTTAGAAAAAATAGTAAGAGAATACATTAACTTTTTTATATTCTTTTAACTTCTACATTTTACGTATAAAAATTTATATATAACAAAATTATATTAAAATTTAATGAAACTCAGTATTATTAAATATTATAATTTTTAATAAAAGATACTATTAATTTGTAATTATGCGTAAATTTTGTATAAGTTAGAAAAATATTATTATTTTACTAGGCATGAGCAATGCGGAGGAAAGAATATGCTGTTGCGTGTTTGATAATATGAGTAGCTGGACTTTCTTAAGCATATGGATCACTATTTATTTATGTAATGCCTTTAAGTTTGCTTTGAATTCAAAGTACTGAACAGACCAAGATTAACGAAAAATATCATTCCCTTCATTTTCTTTTATTTGTTTAAAGTTATAGCGCATCAAATGAAAAATATAATTAAGGTTTTAATTTTACAAGATATTAATTAATTCCTTTATTATACTTTCATTATATTCTATATAATTAGAGGGATGCTGATTATTAAAAAGGAAAACATAATTCAAATAAGACAAATTAGTTATTTGTTATTAATAAAAAATAAAAACATAATTATTAAGTGATACTGTAAAAGTAAACTTAAGTTAAAAATTACTAAAATGTCAATAAAAAAAGAGAGTAATACATCGTTTTATAAATCCTTGAAATTATAGACATGTCAATTTGGTGTATATAGCATTTACAAATAATATATACTAAAATTTAAAATTTTAAAAAAATTATAAAAACGTGGAGCAAGTATCAAGATTCAAACATAAAACAACTAAAAATTATAAAGTATAAAAAATTGCTAATGGTGATTTTTTTAAAATATATTAAAAATTAAAATACCAATTAAGGTAAAAAAAAATTCATTAGTAAATTTTAAAAATTTATCATATTTCTGTAATTTTTTTTAAAAAATATCATATTTTAGTATTTTATTTTTTATTTTTCCTCATAAAAAATCAGAAAAATAGTCTTTAAAAGTATTAGAAATTGATCATTTTTAATCTTTGCAATTATAAATTTAATTATTTTAGTTCTTTAAAATTATATATATTTATCAATTTAATCTTTAAAGTATGAAAAAAATACTCTAAAAAATTATATTTAAAAAATCATTTATTTTAGTTTCTAAAAATACACGTGTTTTTATAAATCATAAAATCGGTCCTTAAAATATTAATCATTTTAACTGTTAAAATGATATACTCTATCAATTTAATCTTGAAAATGATGATAAAAAAATTAATTTTAACAATAAAATATTTTTTGCTAAAACCATAGATACAAATAATTAGAGAAGGTACTATAAAATGAATCTGTTTTTCTTAAAATAAGCAAGTTCTTAAATATAAAATAAAGTTTACCAATAACAACATCAATTATCGTATTCGGTCCGCAGCAATTTATTATTTTGTTTTGTTTTATCAAGGATGATTGTTATGTTTTATTATTTATTAAAAATAATCGTTGCTTGAATCACCTGTTCACTTCAAACGATTAAAGAATAAATAAATTAAAAGTCAAAACATCATATTTTAACATGAATTTATTTAAGTTGTTTATCAACTCCTGAGTTTTATATTATAAATGATAGTAGTAATTTGGTTGGCAAGATATTTCTACAATGATCCTCTTTTATAATTAATTATGTATATTTTTTTAAGATTAAAATTGAATTACATTAGTCTAATTTTTACTTTTTTTGTTAATTATATTTTAAACTTTAAAATTAAAATTATTACTTAATTTTTTATTATTTTATATAAACATTTAAAAATTTCATAAATATTTATAAATCATTTAGTCCGCCAGGTAGCATTATAAATTGTATTTTTTTTAAGGCATATTGTCAAATGGGATACATACAGATAATTAGCACGTATATTTAGAAGGGTTTTGTAATAATTTTTTAATAAATTTTTAAAGTAAAGTAAATATTAAATAAAAAATTATATATATTTAATATTTAAAAATTTTACAAAGAATTCAAGTTTAGTTGCCGTTAAAACTAAAATGTTTGAATCTATCAATCTGCAATATTCCAAAATGAAAATTGCCTGTAAAAAATATCAACTGGCCAAGTTGAACGAGGGCCAAGCAATGATTCAGGCTTCAGCGATACATTGATAACATTGTTTCTAAAATATACAAATTATGCAGTATATACATATAAAGTTTCATACATAATAAATATAATATTCTAATGAAGGGTTCCTTTTGGACATTAGTAAAAGTAAAATAGAAATTAGAAATAATTGTTAATTATCATAAATTGCTGTCCATTGCCTAGAAACAGAAATAACTTCAATTTCATTCTCTTCCTTATTATTATCTGTAAAGAAGAAGTATCAGATACAATACGTGATGCAAAATCAAGTATCGACCTGTCCATGTACATGCTTGTACATCGATTATCAACTTAATATTTTAATGGTCAATTCAACCAATGTTAAAAACCATAATAAATATTTTAAAAAAATATAAAAGATGATGAAAATTTTAAACTTTTTGTAACAAGAGTGAATTTAAATATAAATTTTAATAATTATTATCCTTTTAAAAGTCACACACCGTCTTTTAGAGTTAAAAATTGTCACTTACATGGCAAGATGAAATTAGAACTAGTAATGAGTTTGATAAATCAAGTAATACCTGTTTCTGTTGTGCGTTGAATTTTATGCCACAAAATTGAAAAATTATGAGGCACTCACCAGGCTGACACTAGCTATTTCCAGCAAGTTGCCAAGATAAAAGACTGATAAACATATGCAATTGTAACAACATTGTCAAATTAACAAACAAATAGAAATATTGGAGATTATAAAACATCAAGAAACATATACACAAATTACTCACTGAGGAAATGCAAAACCATATGATCAATATGTTTGCTTTGTGTTGAGTGGGAGCTCTCTTCTTTGTCACATCCATTAGCAGATTCACAGACATCTTTTCTTTTCTCTTCAAGAAAGTGAGAACAACAGTCACTCCTCCGACAATGACGTATGTCAGGGTGTGTCCGTACTTGCATACAGCGTGTTCGGGGGTCCATTCATGTCAGTAAGGCTATTAATTCATGTGCGTGGCCAGCTTTGGGCCAAACCTTGATTACCAGTAATGCCATTCCTTCATAATGTCCAAGCTTTAGGTCTATTTTGGGCCCAAGTGGTCCACGCAAATCAAAATACTCTTCCCTTGCCATCCATACAAAAACAATTTTGATTTCATGTCTTTCTTTTTTAATTTCTCCTAATTTAGCCATCCTCAAGCTTTATTATTCTTTGACTAACAAACTCTGCATTTACTTTTCTTTAGAGATTTCTGAACACCGATTAAGAATATAATCAAAATATTTTTTATCTTCTAAAAACAGTGCATGCATTCCACCCTCGATCGATCGGCTCCTCCCCAGAAAAATTTGTGTTATAATCTTATTTCATCCATCAATGTCATCATCTTCTTGTCTTTTCACTGCCACGTGAATTCAGTAAAAACAAAAAAAAGATAGTGTAGACTCGTAACGTTTGCTTAAGTCCATGCTTAATAATTAATGTCGTGTATAACAGTATCCACTGTTTTGTGACGAAAGGCATTGTTAGCTTAAGACTTTAGTGCTGTTTGTCCCTTGATTGAAAAGAAGCACGACAGAATGGAAAAGCATGAGAAAGCTGAGCGTTCTGGTCGTAGATTTTGGTAGTCATCAATATCCCTTTGTTGTTAAGGATATGTCAATGTATGTCGGGACAAATCCAGATTGTCAGGTACTATTTTATTCCTCTATTCATCACTTTATTTTTCTTTATAAGAGGGTTATGCAAAAATGTTTATGTGATCGTAATTTTTGTGGCGATGGCATTCTGAAAAGTTACATGTTATAGTCTTGATTATTAAAAAATATATATTTTGTTTATTATTAATTTATATTAATAAAAACTTATCAATTATCTATAAAATAAATAAATTTATTTATTTAATACATAAATTATCAATTTAACTATTTTATATTATGAACATTTTTATAATATAATACAAATGTATCAGATAAATTTATTATTTTTTATTTTATTAATTTGTTATTTATTTTTATAAAGAAGATAAATAAAATAAAAATAAAAACAAACACATTAATATATTCTCTAACATACTTTTTTTAGATATTTCTTAAGCATTAGTTAAAATTAATGTAAATTTCACATACAAAAATTTTATGAATCTCGCTGCTAACTTCATTAATTTTTTATTTTTTTAAATTTTTTTTAGAAATTTTAAAATTAAAAATACGTTATTAACACTTGTAAAAATCCTCAAATCATTTCTTAAGTTTATATAAATTAAGGTATTTTAGTTTTTAAAAATTTTAAAAACTATTGATTCTTAATTTTTAAATATAAAATAATAATAAAAAGAAACTATAAAAATACTAAAATAACCTACTTTCTTTGCAATTTTCCATTCTTTTCGTTTGGAATAAATCTCTTTAATTTCCACTATGACCACCGACACATTTTTACAATTTACCCTGCTATCTTTCACACTGCAATACTCCCACTAATTTTGAGAATTTTTAAATATATGAAAAGTTATTTATTTAAGATAAGTATTTTATATTAATTTTAAAATA